TCCTTTTTTGTTTGTCTGCAGTACTGGGATTGAACCCAAGGTCTTGGGCATGTTAGGCAAGCACTCTTCCTAATAAGCCGCATCCCCACCCCTTTTAATTTAATTTAATTTAATTTAATTTAATTTTAAGTTGCCAGTGCTGGCCTCAAACTCACAATCCTCTTGCATTACCCTCCTGAATAGCTATGATAATGAGCATGTGCCTTCATACCCAGCTTTTATTTTCCTCTCTAATTGAATACGTTTTCAAATTAGTCACAATGATTTCACTTTTTGTTCTCTGTTCTTTAGCCAGCCCCTGAAGCTTTTGAGTTTACTAGTGCTGAACTTTTCTGACAAATTTCTACATAAGCAGCCAGTTACCAATAATAGAATTACATGAAGCCAAAATATTCTCATGATTCAGCCTGTACTGAAACCCTAAGAACTCTCTCTGACTTCCTCTTCCTCTGGGTTGGTAAGAACCCAAAGCCATCTTATATCCTAACTTCACAAAGCCTGGGTCTTAGGTGTGAAAATGAACATACCTGTTGTACATGTATCTGTGTTGCTGAGGTACAGTTGCAATGTTAAGCCAAAATGCTCAAAAATGGCATGTAAAACAATCTTCGACATCAGAGGGCCTGAACAACCTGAGTGCATCTGAAAGGCCCCTGATGCATGGTGATTCATAGTGAGGACAGTGGGAGCTGTCCTTTAGCACTGTGGTGAACACTAAATGAGACCACCTTTTATATATTGTCTATATTTGTTTATATATATAAACAGATTTGAATTTTCAGGATATCGTGAAGGACCAAAACACATTAGATGGAAATAAACCTGCCCGAATCTCACCAGTAAAGACTCCAGAGGTCAAGAGTTATCCTTCATGGTCGAAGTACCGTGGTAATCTCCTTAACTTGAAAGTCCACAGGCATGGCCCACAGCTGTGGTCTTGAAGGTAAACAGACCGAGTGTCATGGGTAGCCGACTCTGGTAGGTTGTATTCCTATTCCCAACTATCCACTGATCCCCTGTGGGATTATTGTGCATCCAGCCCTTAGACATGTGGCTTTCTGTTTCTCTGAATGGGCAGAGCCCATGTCCTGTGTTTTGGAATGTGAATGGATGTAGAGTTGAAGCTTTAAATGTGCCTGATCGGATGGTTCCTACCCCCTGCCATGAAAACTATACAAACCAAATAAGTTCCATGGTGGTTAAAATCTTTCCTAAACTTTCATATAAGTATTAATTCATATCATTTTCAAAAAGTATCTGTATGTGCATAGATATGTGAGTGTGTCTCAATGTCCTCACCTGTAGAGGTGGAACTTCAGCTGGGCCTGAGTCTCCATCCACCTCTTCATGTGTCCTGTATCTCATATCTCATTTCCAGCTTAAGTCTCCACCTTAGGTCTTCTGCTGGGTGTGCATTTGGCTATGAGAATAAGGTCAAGGTACTGTTGGTTAATTAATGACATTCTGCCCATGTGTTTGGCCCTCATCACCTAGAGCACTTATTATCTAGGAGAGTCTCTGCCATTAATATTTTCTTTTTTTAATTTATTTTTTAAATTTGTTCTTTTTAGTTATATATGACAGTAGAATATATTTTAGCATGTTATCCATACATGGAGTATAACTTCCCATTCTTGTGGTTATTCATGATGTGGAGTTATACTGGTCATATATGTGTATAGGAACATAGGAAAGTGATGTCCAATTTATTTTACTGTTTTTTCTATTCTCATCCCTTCCCTTCCCTTCATTGCCCTTTGTCTAATCTAAAGTATTTCTGTTCTTTTCTCTCCCTGCCTTATTGTGTGCTAGCATCTGCATATCAGAACATTCAGCTTTTGGCTTTGGGGCATTGGCTTATTCCGCTTAGTATGATAGTCTCCAGTTCCATCCATTTACCAGCAAATGCTATCGTCTCATTCTTCCTATGGCTCAGGAATATTTCATTGTGTGTATATACCACAGTTGCCACAGTTGCTTTATCCATTCATCTGTTGAAGGGCATCTACTTAGTTCCATAGCTTAGCTATTCTCAATTTGAGCTGCTATGAACATTGATGTGGCTATGTCACTGTAGTATGCTGATTTTAAGTTCTTTGCATTTAACCCAAGGGATGGGATTACTGGGTCAAATGGTGTCCATTCCAAGTTTTCTGAGGAATCTCCATAGTGCTTTCCAGAGTGGTTGTACCCATTTGCAGTCCCACCAGCAACGTGTGAGTGAACCTTTTCCCCCCAGCCTCGCCAACATTTACTGTTACATGTATTCTTGATAATTACTATTCTCAAGTGAGATGGACTCATAGCGTAGTTTTAATTTGCATTTCTGTAATTGTTAGAGATGTTGAAGGACATTTTTTCATGTTTTTGTCTGTTATTAATATTTTCAGAATAGTGCAGACCTTGCTTTGTCTGGCCTAGCTGGCCCATGTGCTGACCACGTAGTCTCAGGAGGCTGAGATGACTTTCCCAGCCTCCTGTCTCCTGGTGTGTTATTCACTCCCATGGTCTTGAAGACTGGTGTACTTTTAACTTGAAATTTTTTAGTACAACTGTTAACCCCATAAGACTGAGAGCTAGCTGGGTTGTCTTATTTCCCCTAAGGTGTCTATCCCTTAGTCCTAAAGGGTCCTTTTTCCATGGATGGAGGTCCCTGACTATTTCAAACCTACCAACTTCAATTCCTAGCTTCCAGAAGTCTGGTTATCAACATTCCAAACAAACAAAAAAAAAAAAAAAAAAAGGGGAGAAGGAGTAGAAGACTAGATCAAGATGTTTTCTTTAAAAAGTTTAGGTCAAAGTTGCTCACATTTTCTCTTCTTCTGTTCCTTGGTGATAACTTAATAATGAATTTATGCATAGTTTCAAAAAGAACCTGGAAAATACAGTTCCTCATTAGGAAATCCCATTCCAAAGGGATATATTATATAGTAAGAGGAGGAGATAACATTTTAATGGGTATCCAGTAGTGTCTGCTACTTGTCTAGCCACTAAAATTCTAGGTTAATTCTTCTCATTGATATGCTCATTCCCACCCAAGGAAGACAACCCCAGTCCCATCTGGCTACTGCACCCYACTTAAACTGTATATCTGGGTGACATGCAGTTGTCTCTCTCAGATTCAGATACAGCTCTTCGGGGTCCAGTGATTCATTAACTGGAGAACACCTGCCTGCCTTCTCCAGTGCCTAGTAATAGAAATTGATGGTTGCATATGAGATGTCCTACTCTTAAACATCCCTGGGCCCTTCTACTACCATACGTCTTGGGAGGGATGGAATGAGAAACTAATTCTTCTGAAACCTCAAAGGAGATATGTTTAAGTAACTGGAAGAGAGAGAGAGAGAGAGAGAGAGAGAGAGAGAGAGAGAGAGAGAGAGAGAGAGAGAACATTGCTTTCTCTTTCTAGGAGAAAGTAGCATTAGACGGAAGGTACTTAGTGACAAAAAGCATTCTGTTTGGTGGTAATCTGTGAGGACAGACACTAGTAAATAAAGGTTTTTTTTTTTAAATATTTATTTATTTTTTAGTTGCAGCAAAACACAAGACCTTTATTTTATTTATTTTTATGTGGTGCTGAGGATCGAATCAGGCACCTTGCACATGCTAGGCAAGCACTCTACCACTGAGCCACAATCCCAGCCCCAAATAAAGGTTTTAATAAAGTGTTGCAGGAGTAAAGTGAGAAGAGAATCCAGAGCAAAATTTAATAGCAGCTCTTTAAAATAAGAATAACGTGATGGGGTCATCTTGATGTGTCCACTGAAAGATAAGGAATATTTTGATGAGTAACTGTTTTGACAGAACCATATCAAAAAGTACAAACATTCTGCCGGATGCTGTGGTGCTCACCTGTAATTCCAGTGGCTCAGGTTGTTGAGGCAGGAGGATCACGGGTTCAAAGCCAGCTTCAGCAACTTAGTGAGGCCCTAAGAAACTTAGTGAGACCCTGTCTCAAAATAAAAAATCACAGCATGTGGCTCAGTGGTTAAGTACCCATGGGTTCAATCCCTGGTAACTTCCCCCCTCACATATATGTATGTATATACATATGTACACACACACACACACACACACACACAGGACTCCACCTTTGATCCTCACTTCTTTCTTCTCCCACGAGGTGATGTGGAGACCATCTGTTCACCATTGTGTGCTAACTGTATTCTAATATAATTCAGACCATATATTGGACAGGCATCTTCCTGATGGAGTAAAATGATTGTCTAAGTCAAAGATTCTATTTTTAACCAGATTTTTTTAAAGAGTTGAAATGAAGCCAGCTAGAGTTCAGCTAAAAGCATTTTAAAACATGCATAGGGATTTTAAAGTAAATTTCTACCAGCAGGGTAGAGCCAGGATACAGGCCATGAGGTGGGGAGGAGGCAGAGAAGAGGGGAGGATCACCTATTTGGATGGATGCCCAGGAATTTTCTGCATTTAGGCATTCACGCTTGCTTGGGAGTTGTTTACGCTCTGGCTTCAGTAGTAGGAGTGTATCCCTTTAAGGGAAAAGCGGGGAGCTCGGGAGATTAGAAGACTCTCTCCAGAGGGAGTAAAAGGGCACCGTCCACAACCGCAGCTGAAAAACACACAAGTTGTACACGATTTCCTTTCCTCTCCAAAGCAGATCCAACCCACATTTTCTTCCAGTGAAGAGAGGGAGAATTGGTGCCAATGAGCGGTGGGGGTGTGGGCTGAAAGGAGGTGGGGCCAGACTGCCTGCCCCTGGGCTGGGCTGGTACTTGCCTAGTTGATGTTTCTTTACAGCAGAAAGCCAGAGTAACTTTCTCAGCTGAAGGATCAGCCAGGTGCTTCAGGAGAGAGAGTGAGAGGACACCACAGTGCTCCTCAGCTCTGGGCCTTGCAGGAGATGCCTTCTAAAGAGGGCAACCCAAAGTCACCTCTGTTACAGCATTTATTTGAGCGTGAGGGCAGCTGTCTTTCTTAAGAACTGTTGATACACGAGTGCTTTCTGTCTCTTGTTCTTTCCTCAGGACAAGTGACATTGCCCTAGCCAGGTGAAGATCTCTGAAGACCATGACCAAGAAGAGAATCTCTGTGATTGGGGCTGGAGCCTCCGGGCTCTCTTCTATCAAGTGCTGTCTGGATGAAGACTTGGAACCTGTTTGCTTTGAAAGGACTGATGACATTGGTGGGCTCTGGAGGTATCAGGTAAGTCTTGTGTCCCTTAGTACTGGAATCCCTCCTTGCAGCTGGGTGCATGCAGTACGCTACCTCATGTCAGGTCATATGCGAGCTTGATAGTGACTAAACTGACAGGGCTCTGCCTGTTGGCTTCTTAACAGCCCCACCCCACCTTTTATGAGGGTTCTCTTTCCCTCTGTGGGCTGCAAAAGCATCACACAGGTGACTCTTTTCCCTATTCTACTGTTTATAAAATCCACAGAGAACATTTTCTTATATTAGTTTTGCTGTTTTTCAGAAGAGGGGAGAATGAGTAACGAAGCCACACACCTTAGAAAGCACATGGGGATTAGAAAATGTGGAGTGGTGGCTTCTGATGTGTCTTAAAGATAAATGAACACCCTCCACCTTCAGTCATCAACCTCATTTTTCCTTTTAAGAAAATCCAGCTATTTCTCTGACAATTCTAGTCCTGAATAAAATATAAAATCTGATAGAATTGTTTGCTTTAAACTTCTTGCATTGAGAAGTTCAAAGTCCTTTGTCTTTCAGAAGAGGGCAGAGGGCAGAGAGCACCTGCAACTTGGTTTTCATGTCCTTGCATATACTCAGCTTTAAAGTTAAATTGATTAAATATGCATCCAATCCTGCAACTTGTTAGTAACCACTTAAAATATCATATACTTAAATGACAAAAACCTATTAAGTGCCAAAAAAATATCAGTCATCTTCACTGATCTCTAATTTGATTTGCTTTTAAACTCATTTTCTGAACCAGTGAATGAAATTGAGGTGCCATGGATATATTTCCCATCATAAAAACTAACACAGTGTTGGCCAACTGCTTAAATGTAGATTGGGCTGAGGCTGTAGCTCAGTTTTACAGCACTTTCCTAGCATGTGTGAGGCACTGGGTCAATCATTAGCACCACATAAAAACAAAGGCATTCTGTCCATCTACAACTACAAAAAAAACAAAATTTAAAAAGTGGCCTTATGACATTACTTTGTAGAACAAAAGTATTATATCTTGGCTTCATTTTGGGAACTAATTCTATCTGACAATACTCTTATTCATATCTAGAATGGATCCCCTTAGCAAATCCCTATACCTTTATCAGAATCAGTCAGATGTGGGCTGAAAAACCTGTTAATTCGGTTTTTAGTTAACAGAAAATTCTACTGGTGGAATCCAGTCACACCCTAGTGTGCAGGTTAAAAGCACTGCTTTAGATTCAAAGACTGTCCTTTACAAGAAGTATGGCCTTGGGCAAATCATTACACCTCTCTGTGCCCACTGTTTTTTAATCTTTACAAAGGGATAATAGTAATACCCACCTTAAACATTTATCTTGGGTAATAAGTGGATGAATAATTACATCAATCACTTGCAAAAGTGCTGGTTCTGCATAGTGCTACAAGTCAGTTATTATTCAGGCCTAGAGTGGGACCCCCACATTGTAGCTGGATTTGGCAATTACCAAAAAGGAATGAAATCAGGTGAGGCAGAGATGATGTTGGGAAGGTAGCCATTACCCTGCCTGATTAACATGTTTCTGGTTTTTATCTCTAAAGCGATTTAAAATTATTACCTGCTGAAAATACAGCATGGGGACTTTTTTCATTATTATCTTCTGGGCAAAATTTCAATACCTTATGAACTGCTTCCTTGGGGGGAAAACTGTTTCCTCATAACACTCTGACTTCTCTTAACACAGACATGCCTATAGGGCTCACCATTATATTCTAGACCAAGAATGATGCCTGGCACATATTAGCTTCCCAATATATTTATGTTTAATATGTGGATTCCTGAGAAGGAAACTGTCATCAGTGGCTACTAAAAATGTTTACCGTGCTGGAGACCCTCCTTCTCACATTTTCCACAGTTAATTAGCTGTGGAGACTAAGGTATTGTAAACATCCTTTAATGTTGGACTGAAGTATCTTACTTCAGTGCTGCTGGTGGTCACCTGAGAATTTTTTCTGAGACATGCTTCTCTATCACTCCCTTGCTTGTTATTTGGAGTCTAGCTGTCTCTCCACCCCTCAAAACTTTTCTATAATTTGTTAGAGGTTTCGTATGTAGAATTGGTCTAAGCACTTTGGAATTCCACCTCCACTGCCAGATGTCCAGTAAGAACACTGGGAATTCAGGGCTTCCGTTTTCCCTTTTCTTTGACAGGTTCCTGGACTCAGTATATTTTTATTTTCTTCTCAGATAGTACCATTTGTACTTCCCTACCGTGATTCCTTTCTGTTTTCTATCTGCCAAACAAGTGTTTTCTCAGATACCACCATTTGTATTTTCCTCTCTCTTTTCCTTTCATGTTCCACCTACCAAACTGGTGTAGCCTTCTCCTGGTACAGCTGAATACTGTCTCACAGTAATCATAGAAGTTCTCAAGACATTAATGTCAGTCAACTCTTGATCTCTTCATTAACATTAAATAAGACTGATGGTGGAAAGTAGGTGCTAATGTGATATATACCCATTTATTTGATGTTACCTTATGAATGCAATAGCTTCAAAAAGTAATAAATTTCTTACAAAACACTGAGGATTTAACTCCATACTATCTAATAATCATTGCTATTTTTTGGTCAAACTGGATTTTTAAGAATTATTAAAGCATGCTAAACTATGCTTTTCAAACTTCAGTGTACACATGAATTACTGGAGATTCTGATTAATTAATTTAGGGTATACCAAGATTCCACATTTCTAACAAGCCCTAAGTGCATCACATAATAAAGTTATAAAGTATAGACAATAGATACACCACGGAATGTAAAATGTTGCTGTTTAATCAGTGTTCATTTAAAATAGAAAATTAATTAATAAACATCCTTAAATGAAATGTTTTTTAAAAAACTATAAATTTCATAGTTCTTCCTTTCTCAAAAGAAGACGACGACAACAATAAGTGGATTAAAAATTACTTAAGAGGGAGGAGTGTCCAGCTGTACACTGAAGAGCTAATCCCTGGGGGAACATTGACARGAAAGGGTGTCAGCCACTTGTGAGATTCTGGAGTTGATCTTGAGCTCTCTGCTAGGTGTTTCTCATACACACTGATGTGAAGGCGAAGGCCTTACAGCCTCTACCGCAGCTTTCCCAGGCCTTAAAGGAGGATGATGTTGTGTCCTTACAATCAGACCAGCGGTGATCTATGACACTCACGTTTCTGGGCTGAGACTGTCCCTAGAGGGTGCAGAGATGCAGAGACCTGCTTCCTCCCGCTGCCCTCGGCACTTGGCGGTTTAGCTGAGGGTGGTTGCAGAAAGGACTTGCAGTTGATGGAGTAAGTGGCTGTGAGCTCTCCAGGGCCAGTACACTGCCTCTGACTGGCAGTTCTCAGACTTGTCGTCACGTTAGACAGGCAGCACTCAGAAGAATTCCCAGGAGGAGAGCCCAGGCTCTATGTTTCTTGAAAAGTTCTCCATCTGATTTCCGTGTGCAGACACCAGAACTGGGAAGTGCCATTCAAACAGCGCGCCTGTGCGTGGGGTTTGTGGAGCACCACAGGGACACCCACGCTGTCCTCATTCCTCCCTCCCCCTTGTTGTACCTTCTACCCCTCCAGCCCATTCAGCTCCAACTCACTCCCTTATGTCCTCTCCTTCCTCTTTTTTAAAAATGCTTTAATATGCTTTATTTTTAGATAAGTTTTAAGTTCATACAAAATTGAGCTTCTGCCTTTTTAGGTGCACAGCTTGCCTCATTATCGTCGTCCCCTGTAGTGTGCTACATTTGCCACACTCAATGACAGATTATCCATCATTCACAGCTCTTGGTTTACAGGAAGGTTCACTATTGGTTTTGCATATTCTATGGGTTTGCATAAATGTATAATAACATATATCCATATTATAGTCTTATACTGCATAGCTGGTTTTGTTGTTGTTTTGCTTTTGGAGGTGCTGGGGATTGAACCCAGTGCTTYGGGCGTGCTAGGCAAACATTCTACCACTGAGCTACATCCCCAGCCCTTTATTTATTTTTTTTAAATTGGCAAACTGGGACTATAACTCAGAGGTAGTGCTTGCCTAGCGTGTTCAAGGCCCTGAGTTCGATTCCCAGTGCCACAAAAGAAGCAGAAAAAAATTATTGACCAGTATAATTATCCATAACAGTGAGATCCAGTGTGATGTATCTGCACCTGCACATAGCATGATTTGGTCAGTTTCATTCCCCGGTACCTCCTCTTGCCTTCCCCTCTTCTACCACACTGGTCTACTCCCTTCCCTCCCCTTTTCACTCCCGCTTCCACACAGGAGAGAAAACATGACTCTCTGAGTCTAACTTTCTTCACTTAGCCTGATTTTCTCTAGTTCTATCCATTTTCCTACAAATGACATAATTTCATCTTTCTTATGACTGAATAAAACTCCATTGTGTACCTCTGCCACATTTTCTCTGTCTATTCACCTGTGGATGGACACCTAAGCTGATTCCATAATTTGGTTATTGTGGATTGTGCTGCAATAAATGGGTATGCGTCTATCACTGTAGTATTCTGACTTTAATTTTTCTGGATAAATACTAAGGAGTGGTATCGCTGAGCCATATGGTGATTCCATTCCTACACTTTTGAGGAAACTCCATACTGATTTTCTTAGTGGTTGTACTAATTAACAATGTATAAAGATTTCTTTTTTCCCCACATTCTTGCAAGCATTTATTATTATTTGTATTTTTGATGAATACCTTTCTAACTAGAGTGAAACAAAATCTTGGTGTAGTTTTGATTTTCATTTTCTTGATGGCTAAAGATTTTGAACAGTTTTACAGACATTAGTTATTCATTTGTATTTCTTCTTTTGAGAAATGTCTGTTTAGCTTATCTGCCCATTTATTAACTGGGTTATTATTTTTTGGTGTTTTTAAAAATTCTTTATATATCTGGGATATTAATCCTCTGTCAAAAGAGTAGCTGGCAAAGATGTTCTCCCATTCCATGGGCTCTCTTTCCACACTTCTTTTCCCTATGACATACAAAGGCTTTGAAACTGGATGTCCTCCCTCGTATTAGCTTTTGGGATGTTTCCCAAGGAGTCTGAGGGAATTGTTGCCTGAGCCTATGTTGGAGTGTTGACTCTGCTTTCTTTTAGTAGTTACAGAGTTATTGGACCTCTTCCTCAGTTCTGGTTCACTTCAAGTCCCTTTTGTGCAGCTGATAGATAAGGATCTACTTCCATTCCTCTACATTTGGACATCATGTTTTTTTAGTACCATTTTTTTAAAGGCAGTCTTTTCTCCAACTTGTGTTCTTGGCACTTTTGTCAAATATCAGCTGACCATATCTGTGTGGGTCTGTCTATTCCTTCTCTGTTCCCCTGGCCTCCATGTCTGTCTGTACGCCATAGCACACTATCTTTAATATTATAGCTAGGAGGTATGATTTGAAACTTGGGAATTGTGGTGCCTCCAGCATGGCTTTATGTCTAAGCATTACTTGAGAGATTCTGGGTCTTATATTCTTCTACGTGAATTTAGACGGTGAAGAGTGCCATTGTATTCTGATGAGAATCGCACTGAATCTGTAGCTCACTTTTGGGAATATGACCATGTAACACATGAATCCCACCCAGGACACGGGGTCTTTCCGTGTTGCAGTGCAGTCTTCCGTGTCTTCCTGCAGTGCACTATAGTTCTCAGTGCACTATAGCTCTTCTGCCTTCCTGGTTAGATTTATTCCTAGAGTTGTTTTTCTTTGCTTTTGCTTTTTTTTTTTTTAAAGCTATTGTTGGAAATGTTTTCCTGATTTTTTTTCAGTTAATTCATTATTGGTGTGTAGGAAAACTGTTAATTTTGTATTTTCATTTTGGAACCTGTTACTTTGCTTAATTTACTAGTCCTAGAAGTCTTCTGGTGGAGATTTTTGTTTTTGAGGGGGTCTTTTCTTTCTTTATCATTTTTGTCTTGTTCTTGGTACACTTGTGCTTTGAATACCCCAGACCAGCTGGCCCCTTAGGCTCCACTTTTCACTGACTGGTAGGTTCCCATGCTGAGTCAGTCTGGAAATAGAATGGAGTCTATAACAGACTGGGGAGAAGCTCTTGGGAGCCATGGTGCCCACAGAGGCTGGTCTTTCAGTTCTCGGAGCTACCCACAGGTATCTTCCCCACAGCATTCCTATAGCAACATGGATAGCCCATTCTTCATTCAGAATTACTTACTTTTCCCTCAGTGACCTCTTTCTGTTCCAGGGTCCCATCCAGGACAGTACATTACATTTAATCGTCAGGTCTCCTTATGCTCCCCTTCACTGTGACAATTATTTTAGACTTTCCTAGGTTTTGATGACTTGGCAGTTTTGAGGAGCACTGGTCAGTATTTTTTAGATTATCTTTCAATTGAGATTTGTCTGCTGTTTTCTCATGGTTACTGCGGTTATAGGGTTTTTGAGAGTAATACTGAAAAGGTAATACCACTCTCATGATATCATTTCAAAGATACATTCTGTCAGCAAGCCTTATCATTATTTTGTTAATAGTGATGCCTTCCCCGAAGTGGAGTTTGTCAGATTTTGCCAGAGTAAACTTTATCCCTTTTATCTCTCTTGCTTTGCTATACTCAACTCTTTGAAGAAAGCTTATTATGCACAGCCTATACTTAAGGACAAAATTAGCTATTTTTAGACTTCTGTCTTCCCACAGAAACTTTAGAATCAGTTTGTTGATGACTAAAATGTAGCTTGCAGAGATTTGATTGGGATTGCATTGCATCTATAGATCAAGTTAGGAAGAAATGACATCATAATTTTGGTTTCTCTAGATTCATTCTCATAATTATATAACTAATTCATTCCTAAGCATTCATTAATCATTCACTATATATCAGGGACTGCATTGTTGACAGAAATATAAAGAATAATAAGGCATGTACACTACCCTAAGATCCCTTACAATCATGGAAACAAATGCAGAATGATAAAATCTGTTTACATTGCTTTTATAGCAATATGAATTGAAAGGTTTGGGGACTTGGAGGATCAATGGAACTACAGGAAAGTCTTCCTCAAAAAAGTAACATTTGATATAACTCGAATGAAGGTATGAATTTTTCAAGAAGTAGTGATATGCACAAAAGTTTTAAGTTGTAAAAGAGCCTACATTATTTCAGCTAGTAATTTAATGACTCGGGAATACGGGATTTGTTAAGGGGAACACTGAATGAAGATTAAAAGCCATAGTGGGCTAGATGTGAAAAGTGCTAAATTTTAGAATAAGTAGGTTGGTTTCCAGAAGGAATAGAAGCCAATGAGCAGTGGAGTAACGGGATGTTCTTTGTATTCAGCAGGATACCTGTGGAATAGTGTCAAAGATAGATTGTACTTCATGTTGAGATACTGTAACATAACTAAAYCACTCGGAGATTTGGGGATGTTTTAAGTTACTATTAACTAATACAAACTTAATTAAATAATAATTAATTTAAATAATATAAAGTGGTATCTTTTTGCATTTGACTTTTATATTATTCCACAATTTTCCTTTAAAAGTTTCAAAAATGARATAGATATGTCTCATTCACAYTGTTTTGAAATAAACTTTTATTTATTTCATAAATTTGTTGTGTTTTATGTTAAATTTGCTTTTTCTATGCATTCCTTTCTCAATTCAATCTGACATACATTTATTAAACATTTATTGAGGGCTATTTGTAATTTTAGATACTCTGGAAAAAAGCATGACTACAATTTAAAGTCATTCAGTGCCATTTCGACTGTATCCTGTTGGTCAAAAACAAGTCATAAMGATAACTGGGATTCAAGGGGAAGGAACTACACAGGGGCACAAGAACAGGGGGAGGTGTGGAGGCCATGTATGTGTGTCATTTGTTTGAATTGTCATTTATTTCAGGAAATTTCTTCAACTATTCATTGGCTGTTTTATAAATCATGAAATTAATTCTCAAGTTGTTCTTATTTACTACAGGAAAATCCTGAAGAAGGAAGAGCCAGTATCTACAAATCAGTGATCATCAACACTTCTAAGGAGATGATGTGCTTCAGTGACTACCCCGTCCCGGATCATTACCCTAACTTCATGCACAATTCCCAGATCCTAGAGTACTTCAGGATGTATGCCAAGGACTTCAACCTTTTAAAGTATATCCAGTTCAAGGTAGGCACTTTGTGGGTGTCTTGGTGTCTGAAGTTGTTCATCAAGTAGGTGAAGAACGTGGTTTCATCAACCAGTAGCACATGTAAATACGGGAGCGATATACTCAAGTATAAAGTCTCCACTCTCAGTTTCCTCTCTCTAAAATGCCCATGGAAAGCTCTCTTTTACATATTCTGGCTGCAGATTCAGAAAGATACCTGCCAGAGTGTTTTCATTGCCTTCATTCCACACTCCCTGCTTACGATCAAGGAGATGAGGGGAATGAATAAGTATGGGAACTTGAAACCCTCCTGTCCCACAACCTGTTCACTCCTGCTTAATTCTTTTACACTTTCTGAAGCACTTTCCAATATATTATTTTATGTGATCATCACAACATCCTGGTGAAGTACTTAGTGACTGGGAAGTTATTGAGGAAGCAAAGGAGTTGACTCAGGTGGAGAGAGTAGAATATTGAAGTGGGAAACAAAGTCCTGAATTCTGGCCCTTGTTCTTGCCCCTCATTAGTGACCTAAGACCAGTAATTTCTCAATTTGAACTTATCTTGATTCTCTTTTCTGTGAAAGAAGATGGTTGTACTGTATGAGGTTCCTTCCTTCTCTAAAGTCTGCTGTGACTTTCCTGTAGTTCATAACCATGGCCATATTATATCACCTGGCCCAGAGTCCAAACCTTCCACCTTTTTATGTTTAGCAACAATGACAAAGTGGCAACGTCTGGTGACAATTTCCAAAGCCGGTTATGCATAGCCTAGTGGTGCATCTCTTCACTTGTTTAGGTGACACTTGTCGAACAAGTTTGTCACTGTACTAAGCAGTGATGCTGCAAAGACAGAAGCCATAAGTAACTTAACAGTCTACATCAAGGACGCAGAAAAATTATTATTATACATAGAAGGAAATTATTATTATACATAGAAGGAACAAACCAAGTGACAAGTACCATGGAGGCTACACCTGCAGTTCAGAAGGGGGATGTTTAGCCCATCAGGGCCAAGGAGTCAAGTTCCAGGAAAGATTTTTGGAGAAGACAGTGTCCAAGCCAAGTCTTCAGTAGGAAGCAGTCTTCAGATGAAGAAGGAATAAAAGGGTGACCAAGTAGAAGCACCAGCGTGTGTAAAAACACATGGCAGGGACTGGAAATGGCACAGGACGGTTGAAGCCTAGACAGTGCTTCTACCAGTCACCAAGACATCATAGCCAGACCCTAGAAGCACACTGGAATGTATTCTTGATGTTTCCCTGGCTGGGCAGAGTCACCTATATTTATTGGTTTTTTTTTTTTTTTGAAAAGCTAAAAATTATTCCACTGACTACTCTATCTCACAACCTATTTCTTTAGAATAACTTGTGAAGTGAGCATATTTAGAAGGCAGAGATTCCTTTACAAAAAATAAGAGCCACTGAGATAGGTTCCTGCTCTAACAGGAAAGGTAGCCTCATAGTCACAAGTTTAAGTCTAGCCAAAGAGAACAGGACTTGGGAGTAAGAAGACATCAGAGAGTTTGGGGAGTCGGGGTTAGAGGGGGGACAGGTGTTTAGTGCAGAGTGCCACAGAAGTACAGGAGAAATCCAGGCTTTTTCAGGTGCTGCCATGCCTCAAGGTAGAGACTAAGAGTCCTACCAATCTCTACTTTTCTAGAAGCAGAGGAGAGTACATTGGTCTGTCAACTCTGCTTACTTTGTCTGCCTTATGGTTTCTCAGACCACGGCCCCAAACAAGGCTGTTCTTTATGGAGTATGAGAATCAAGTATCCTGCAAGGACCCTAACCCTAACCCTAATGATGAGATGGCACTGTGGTATCAGCCCATGGTGTAACATTTTGCAGGAAAAGCCATGTCAGGGCTGATATCCACTGTACAGGCTGTGGTTAAGTGCCTGGTGTATGTCACTTTTCTTTCAGACCACTGTGTGCAGTGTGAAGAAGCGGCCTGATTTCTCTACTTCAGGACAATGGGAGGTGGTCACCGAGTGTGAAGGAAAAAAGGAGGTTGGTGTCTTTGATGGAGTCATGGTTTGCACTGGCCATCACACTAACGCTCACTTGCCCCTGGAAAGCTTTCCAGGTGAGTGACCTTCCAGGAAGGAGATGACCCTTGAGCCAGGCCTGTGACCCTGAGGAATAGAAGGGTTGTGGTCTGAGTGATTTTTACCTTGGGGTGGAGTAAGACCCTCATTAGGCATGTTCCCTTGAGGATGGAATAACCTGTGTCATCGCCATTTGGGGACTAGAGTTAATGGTGATTTTAGAGTTTAGAGGTCTGTGAACAATCATGCCACCACATAATGACATTTCAGGCAAGGTTGGAGTACATATAGAATGATGATCCCATAAGATGATAAGGGCACTGGAAATCTTCTATTGCTGAGTAGTGTCCTAACCAGTACCACACCGTGGTGACACTGATGCACAAAGCCCTGTGTGCGGTCCATTGTGGAAGGTCACAGCCCATACAATTGTGTGTGTGGTACGTGATACTGACAAACAACTGTGTCATGGTTTATGTATTACTGAGCTACACATTTCTCTTAGTGTGTGCTCCAACTACTTCTAGGAAAGTTTACTGTACAACTGTCTGCCATGTCACCAGCGATAGCTTCACAGGCCTCCTGTTTATTGTGGGTCTTGATGGCATCAAGAGGCTATACTGAGGGACTGGCCCATACAATATGGGCTGTGTGAGTACTCTGTGATTTTTTTCACAATGATGAGACCAAAATTACAGTAACATTTTCAGAATGTATATATTTCTTTCAAGTGGCACATGATTGTATTTAGTTTCATAATGACTTTGGTTTTCTTTTTTATTTTTAATTAATTAATTTATTTTAATTAGGTATATATGACAGCAGAATGCATTTTGATTCATTGTACAGCACAACTTTTCATTTCTCTGGTTGCATATGATGTAGCATCACACCATGTGCAGTCACACATGTACCTAGGGTAATGATGTCCATCTCATTCCACCATCTTTCCTTAGGATCAAAAAAGAAGACCGTGGAGCTCTTACTCAGTATTGGTTCAGATATGGAATTTCTCAGTAATTGAGGAAACAAACAAATATTGAGTTTCTAATGCTTAAATGAAAGCTTGAATAATTTAGTTTCAGTTTGGGGTCTGAACTTTTTTTTTTTTAGAAAATGTACTTTATGTGTCTCCTAGAGTATACAAAAACATATATACTCTAATTGAAGTGGGAGTATGTAACTAAGGGAATGAAAGATAAAAGAGAATGGCAGCAGTTTGAATTTGTGGGTCTACAAATCCAAAATACAAACTACTTATGATACAGGAATCACAAATTACTATTCCAAGGCTATGGAAGAAAAAAATAAGCCAAAGTATTCAAGAAGACAAAATAGCTGAATAAAGGGAGAATATGTGGAGAATATGTGCTTCAACTTTAAATTCTACAAAAGAAAGATTTTACAAATGATATCCAACTTATAAACTATCATCCAATAATTATTTTCCATTCTCTTGCAGGAATTGAGAAGTTCAAAGGACAGTATTTCCACAGTCGAGACTATAAAAACCCTGAGGCATTTGCTGGAAAAAGAGTCATCATAATTGGCATTGGGAATTCCGGAGGGGATCTCGCTGTAGAGATCAGCCACACAGCCAAGCAGGTTTGAGCCGTTCTATCTGCAGCCTCACCCAGGAGATAGACCCACAGCGTGTGGTCGGCTGCACTTTGCCCACTAGTGCCGGTGGCAAATACAGGGCTTGGTTTCATGCCTCCGTTGGCATTATGATGGATGCTACTGGAGAGGTGCGGTTAGGGTTGGGGTTCCATTACTCACTTGGCTTCATACTAAGGAATAAGTTCACGGCTTCAGGTTGCACTCACAATCCCAGTTAGCCTTTCCCTGGCTTTGATGAAGCCAAGTATTTGCTGGAAGAGGTTGTGAGAATGCAACACTGACAGTGTGAATCGTCCATTGGCCAGAAGAAATGTGTTCATATACACATGTGGAAAGCACACTGTGGTTATTGAAAACTTTTCATTAACAGGATGGTGGGTGAATTTCCTTTTTGCCCCCCAAATGGGAAAAAAAGAAACAATCTAAATCTTTCCAAAAACAATGTCGACATCAGCATAAAGAGTGTCTGTGTAGTAGCTTATGTGACAGCTTGTGCCAGCTGTTGCCTGCAGTTAGGTAGCACAGAAGGAGAGTCACTCCAAATCAAGTTCTATCTCCTTGGTTTTTTGTTTTGTTTGTTTTGGTTTCTGTRTCATAGATTTTGAGCTTTGAAGAAACTGTCTTCACTGTAAAATCCTAGAAAAAGGCATATCATTATGACATTTTTTGTCTTCATTGAATCATAACTTTATTAGCAATAGGTAAATGCCTGGTTGTTCTTCAGTAACTTTAATTATGCTATGCTTCTCTAATACTATGGGGTTGTGCTCAGTGTTAGAGCACTTGCCTAGCATGCATGAGGCACCACATACAAATAAACAAATAAAATAAAGGTATTATGTCCATCTACAACTAAAAAAATATTTTTAAAAAACCCACAGGCTTAATGACACAATTTTGTTAAATGACCCTTACCTAGCAACTTGATTCCAATAATTTCTCAGTACTATTTTCATCTATCAATATATAAGTGATCTCATATGTTATTCCATGAATTAATTCCACAAACACTTATTAGGAAGTAATTATATAAACAAGAAAGAGTAAAAAACACACGTGGTTGAAGGATGTAACTTGTAAGTAGTGGGGATCCATGCAAAAGTCTTCTTTCATATCTTGGCTTGTCGAGTGGTCATTTCTAAGGGAGCTGATCTAACCTGCATTGTGGAATTAAAATTTCCCAGGAACAAAATATTCAGGGTGTGGAGATAAGGCAGCCATGTTTGTGAGAAAGCCCTGGGAAAACAGCAAAATCACATCTGCATAGGGGGGCAACCCTCACAGCACTAATGCAAACTGAAGAAATTTAATTGCTGAGTTCTAGCTTTTTGCTTTACGTATTAAAATGTATTTAAGAGAAAATTTGGGAGTCAGAATTTGCAAGTGGATCTATTAATCTCAGTGCATAAGGAAATTTTGGTATGAAAATTTGGGAGTCAAAATTTGCAAGTGGATCTATTAATCTCAGTGCATAAGGAAATTTTGGATGATTTTGTGAAAGCATCCCTTTCTCGTCAGGTTGATTTCATATACGATTATATTGACTTAACCATTTTTCTTATGTTTTTCTTATAAGCCAGATTTATAAATATATTGTTTGCTTAAAATAAGTGGTAGAGTGCTTGCCTAGTATGTGTGAGGCATCGATGGAAAAGCTAAAATAAATATGACAGCCATTAAGCATTTATTCAGTGTTTAGGGTATGCCACACTTTTCTATAAAAATCATCACAGTGGTCTTGGGATGGATGTGTTGTAACTATCTCATCGATAGGGAACCCTTTAATCAAGGCTATAAGCTTCACCTTAATCATGTGGATCCCAAGACCATGCAGGTACTTCCACTGTGACAGGTAAAAGCACCTAACTCTGRTAGTGCTGAAGGTTCCTCTCTRTGAGGATATATGTGTGAAGTAAAGAATCACACTTTGTAGACAGGCGTCTTTTTACATGAGAGCTTAGATAAAGACTGTGAAACAATATACTTATTTACCATAAAAACTTATTTACCAGAAACTTCTTCCGGGGTTGTGTAAAGTTGAAAATGTCGTGATACCTCTGCCAGGTAACTGAATATCAGCCTTAATCCATTCTGAATATGTACATTTAGCCAGGAAAGAACAAAGAAGTACTGAACAATCTCCTGTAGTTCTACTAGCAATCTTTATTTTCTCCTATTCAATAATCAATAGAACATCTCTTTAACAGGATTTAGAATTGGTCAGATGTGCGTTGAAACGTCAGTTTGCCTGTTAATAGCTATATGATCTTCGGCAAATTTTTCATCTTCTTGATGTCCCTCACCCATAAAATGAGGATGATATTGGCTTCCTCAAGGGGTTGTTGTGTTAACATTGTAAAATGGTTAGTCAGTGTCTCATGCCTGTAATTTCAGCTACTCAGGAAGCTAAGGCAGGAGGTTTGCAAATTTGAGGCCAACCTGAACAACTTAGAGAGACCCTATATCAAAGGAAAATAAGATTTTTTTTTAAAAAAAGGGCTAAGGATGTAGCTCGGTGGTAGTGCCTTTGCTAAGCATGCATTCGGCCTGAGTTTGATCCCCAGCTCCTCAGAAAAAAGAGTACAAAGGACTTAGTATACAGAATTACAGGTCACAAGTCCCAGTAAAGGAAAGGAATGATGATGTGCTGGGGAGACTGAGAGAGGTGCAGGCTAACCCTCCCACTGTGGAGCACACCATTGGACACAACTGGAGAGACAGATTATGAGCACAGAAAGTTTCACATGATATAAATGATATAAATGGTAAATCATAGTTCATAACAATGCAACAATGTCAAGACAAAAAGACTGGAGTTTTGGGTTAAATGATCTCCAGTTGTTTTCAG